TCGGACTTGTCACCCAACCTCGTTGCTATTCTCACTCCCCGGTGTTAGGACCATTGCTGGTTGAGTTGATTCTTCCGCCTAGTCTTCTTATTCATGAGTTCTATGCTAACATTCATGACGTTAGCAGTTCGTCTTTTAGAGTATTTCTTAGGGGTAAGACGATTAAGATCACTCCTGATGTTGTGTCTAGCATAGCTCATATCCCCAGAGTCGTCCACCCTTATTTCCATACTTGACACCTGATATTCTTCTGGCGGACTCTCTAGTCCGTTCGACGGTGTTTAACACACTGTTGGAGGGAGGTCCTGGTGCGATTTGCATTGGCTCTCTTTCTACTGATCGCCGGATTCTTTGCGCATTGTGTGCATGAATCTTTAGCCCGTGTCACATACTTCTTCATTACCTATGGAGAATGCTCGATTTTGGTACGCTCTGGTGCATGGCAAATCCATTGGTTTACCTTCGTTCATTTTCCAGTAGATTTTGCGTCTTTTTGAGTCACGGGGATGAGGGTGGGGCCGCCTTATGCTTGCTTGATATATAGGTTAGTGACAACCCTCAGAGTAGGTTTTCTAGAGGGGGTTCCGAGGCGGGTTTCCCGGCCGATTGGTCATACCACTATTGCTTAGAGTAGGCCACATGCTTCTTCTGAGCCAGCACAACCCGTTGACCCGACTGTGCCGGTTGATCCTATAAATGACCTTATATCTTTTGATCCCTATGATTTTCCTACTTTTTCCTTTGCTCCTCCGTCCTCTAATATTCCATCTTCATCTACTTTTGTTTCTCCTCCCACTGAGTCTATTTCTCAACCTGTTGATATTCCATTTGTTCCCATTGACCCGTCTGTTGCACTTATGGGGCAGATAGCAGTGCTGATCAAACAGTAGGCTCATATGATGGCGGAGATTATATAGCTGCGAGCTACAGTTGATTGACACACTATTGAGTTTACTACGCTTCGTGGTGCTATTGGTTATTTTCAATGTAGGCTCCGATGGATTCATCGACATTGGGATGATGGTGCAACGTCTGATGAGAGGACTGATATTGATGATGGGAAGATGCAACTTAGTTGCTAGGTTGCCTCTTGTCATTTTGTGACAAAAATGGGGAGTAGTAGTATATTTTGGAGTAGTTGTATATTTTGATGATGAAGTAGTATTTTTGAGGATGTATATGATTCTAACTATTTGACATGATGTATCTACAATTTTTGATTAAATGATAATTTCGTTTTTGTTAGATTAAATTTTGATGTTTTTGTAGTATCAATGTTTCGTTTTGGTATGTTAGGTTGTATTGATATTACGTCTTAATTTAACTTATATATGAAATTGAAAAAATGCATTATATTAACTGCTTAATTCACTTTTACAATGTGTACTGCTTGAATTGCTTTTTACACTTAGTACTATTTTACATACATTTTACACTGGGTATTTAAGTTGTCTATTTCAGGAAACAAGTTTTGATAAATGAAAAGCAGAATTTGGTTGTGTCAATTTTTGAGTCTGTATATTTTTATTTCACTACTGCCTTGACTTTAAATGATAGTTTTGTCACAGAATGCCAAATGGGGAGTTTGTTAGGTATTTAATGTAATTGACAAGTGTGTAAACAAAAAGAACTTAATTTAATATGCTGTAAAAGTCAAGGAGTAATGGGCATATAGTAGAAAGTGAGTTATTTTAGGTCAGTGTTCGAGGATGGAAAAAAAGGAAAAACGGCGCCGAAATTTCGCTAGCTTATCGTCAAGGTTTGGCTCGAGCATCAGAAACAGAAACTGCATAGCCCGCCTGTCGCCTCGCCTTCGCTCGAGCGACAACCTATCGCTCGTACCTCGCTCATGCGACAGTGTTAGCTAGAAATTTTTTTTAATTCATCCGACTATTGCATTCCTTAACCTAACCTATAAATACCAAACAACACATAACGATTTTTTGTGAGGTTGATCATTGAGCAAACACATTGTTTTCTTATTTTCGTCACCGATTATCTTTCAACCTTCATTATTTATATTGTGATTTGTTCTTGATAGTGAAAAACATCGTATTTTAAATCCAAATACCAAATTTCCACTTCCTTCAAATCTGTCAAAGTTTTGAAGATCAAGAGAAGGTGACTGGAGTTCCAATCGGTGAAGAACGCGGTGTTCTTCATTAATCCACAGGAGATAGACAATTTCACAAGACTGGGAGTTGCTGCAGGATAGCGTAATTCAGGAGAGCTGTTGGAATTGTAGTTAGAAGGTCAGAAAGTATGTGTCGTCGTAGAGTTTGACGGACTGTAAGTTATAAATCGTTTATAGTGGATTGTTGACTGGCAAAGTGTCCGAATTTTTTTTCCAATTGGAGTTTCTCCGTGATCATACCATGCATTATTTATTGCTTTCGTTACTAATTCTATATTATGCAGTATTTAAATATAGGATAATTGAACTGATTGTATAACCATCTAGAGATAATTAATTAGTGACTTGTTATTGATTAATTGCTATTTTTAATTTCCGTATTTACACTTATTCACCCCCTTCTGTGTAGTTTGGATCGAACTTCGTATTTTCACAAATCAACTATCTGTATTACGGGGAAAGCTTTGTCTCTACAGCCTATGCTCGAAAGTATGTTTTGATCTATGGGCTATAGAAAAATATGGTGTCAGGAAGAAAGACGAGAATCTGTGCGCCAGACTACAATGTTTCAAGCCCTTGTATTCGTTTGAGGATGGTAAGATCATGCTTCATACATTAATAAATGGACGACGAGAACAAGTAGACATTCACGAGGATGGAGATTCAGTGCCAAAAACTACGTACTGCTGTTAATTTTCAAGATTCTGACAGGATACATCTGCATTGAGATCCTTATTTCACCTCATATAAACAACTGAAAGTCACAAGATGGGAGGGAGTCCCCGGAATTTAAAATATTGAATATTTCTTCTTACATATATTTTAATTTTAATTTGTTATCAAACTATGTATCTACATTCTGTAATATATAGACACTTATGTTTTGTTAAAGATGGTATAGGTAACCGTTCTTTATGTCATTGAATCCGTTACAATACTTTGTGTTTGAACTTTTAGTTTTGCCGAGTAATATGCGTGTTTTTTGTTACCTTAGATATCATCAGTAAACCCTTGCTGGCTTTTAGAAGGTCTGCATGCAATCTTTAGGAATGATTGATATAGTTTTTGTAATAATAAATGTGAGGATTATCTGCCTAAAACATAGGGTGGCTAACTCATTATCAATGTATTAAATATCTAGCAAGCTAAAAGATGTGAAGTTTTGATCTGGGAGATGAGGCCACTTAGTTTTTATCCAACGGCTACCACTTCGATGAGAACTCAACAAATGACAAATCTTGTAACATTTGAATTTAATACAACTCTCAATACTTAAAACCACACTTGATCTTTTCTCTTGCTTATTTCATACTTGCTTGCTTGAATTTAAATTATTTTTACTCTGATTGAGTTGTTTGTGATTGTTCATTAATATGCAATCATTTTTTATCATATTGTCGGTACTTAAACATTTTTGTCTCACGTCATAGAGCATCTCACACGTTCATCAATATCATCATTTTTTGTCCAAATCACTTGTTGTTGAAATTTGCTTGCGTGGACGCGAATGGACCCGACATCTATTATCCACGTAACCATTAATACACACGTACATATATAAGTTGCACCCAAATGAGTTCTTTTATAACATTTTCAGTTTTGTCGGTGAGAAACATTGAAGTTCTTATAAGGAGCCGCATGCTGAGATTGTGCAGAGCGCTTGGACTTCAAAGGATTCTGTTGGATGTTTAACATGCATTTACTGCACTATTCCTACGTTTAGGATATATTTGTTTTAAATTAAAGGAAGTTGATATTTTTCTGTCTCTCCTTCCTTTAAATGTACAAAACCTAAACAACTCTCCAAATATCATCACAATTATTTGATCAGATGAAATTTAACAGATTCTAATGTAAATATCATAGTACCTACAAAGTTGAGCTTAATGGTTTGGTCACACGGTTGATCAGAAGATAGCTGCCGGTTGTTGTTCCAAAGAAAATTGAGAGCTTATAACAGACTCCCGTCCATCCAAGAGCAAAAGTAAATGTCACATTCGGTGTAATGGGTCTAGTTGACTAATAGTTGAGTGCACCAAGAGTCGAGTTCTCAGATCAACCCTATTTAATTTGGCATCCTCAGGGGGATATATCACCCAACTTAGCATGGGATATCAACATCAAAATACTCCTACGTTTCAAATGTGTCTTCAAATCATTCTACTCTTTTGATTTCTCAAGATTCATGCTTCAAAATGAAACATCTCGATCAATCTGCAAAGCACGACTTTGACAAGCACCAAAATGTCCTTTCTAATGCTCTCTTTCATCTTTATGATCTTAGGAAATGATTGAACTCGATCATCCAGTTAAAGGTGCAGAATATTCAGACTGGAAAATTTATGATTCTTGTGGTGGATTGTTCCTCTTGCCAGCTCTCCATGAAGAATATTTTACCCAACTAGGCTATACAAAGTCTTCGTTTTATATGATCGTGGACATTTACGTTGCTGAGAACTCCCTTACCCAATCTTTATTTTCGAAATGACGTGCAATATAACCAGGTTTGAGGTGAAGTTGCCACAATTCAAATCCTCTTTAAAACATTTGGAAAGAATATTACAATTACATCGCGCTGCTTTTTATACACTGGAGTAACAGTAACTAATCTACAATAAACATCTATCATGAGATAATGCATTCTTCAGCTAACTCCACAAGTTCACCTCCTACCTCACACTCGCACTTCCACTTTGTTGATCAGTTCCTTCAAGCGAAGGTGAGCAGCAGCCATTCTGCATCACATTTTCTTGGCCAAATTCTCTTTCATCACTTCCCATTTTGGGTGGAACTAATAGTCAATCACTTATTTCTGAAGTAGCTATAATTTTGCTAACACCTCTCCAGATCCAAAGAAGCATGGCATCTAGTAGCAGAGTAAACTATTCCAACGGTTCTGGAGAATAATGCAGGCCCTGCTACAGGGAATAGCCTGCAGTACAATTTGCTCATCTACAATCTTTTCCATTACAAGACCTAGTCTCACCAGGTTTTTTATGGCCTTGTCAACCGGCATTTCAACCTGCGTACAGCTTCATAAGTTGTTGTTCAACAAAGACGTTAAATAGATAAACTGATTGTTAGATTACCTTTACTTGGAAGACAAGGTAAATAAATCTCTCGCATTCGTCTCCGATAGTTCTGGTGTCAGTCACCTGCATTTAAGCAATAACTGATATAATTGTCTTCTCACTCGAAATAGGAAATTTAACATGCATATTTCTTGATAGTTTTGCAGAGAAGCAATCAGAATTACAATTATATTTCTTCTCAGCAACTTGTATTGAGTTTTAACCATCTCATCTGAAAATCATGGTGTCCAGTGAGGGAATGCTAAACCTTTTAAGGCATTCGATGACCCTTATTTGAGTGACCCAATCCCTGGGTTCAAGATCGGCACTATTGCTCCCAACAATCCCAACATGAGATTCTTGTGGCTTAAACCCATGACCGTGACTCTAACTCACTCTGATAGCACTTAGTTGCATTGGGTTTTAACTATCTCATCTGAAAACCAATTGGTGTCCAGTGAGGTAAGGCAAAACCTTTTATGGCATATGATCAGCAACATATAAGTAACCCAATCGCTAGGCATAAGAGCGGCATTGTTGCTCCTCAACATATATATTGGAGGACATAAATATCGTTTAAGAGAAATTAATTGTTACATTGTCTACTGAATACAAAAGGGAATCCACATTAATGAAGAAAAATGAGAAAGAAAGCACATGGTTATGCACTAATTTTAAAATGAAATGAGCTTGCCCTGTCTCAGCATTAATGAGTAGATTTTAGATTCTTCTATTTGAGTAAAATTCTGAGAATGCAAGCTAGGAATCCAGGCAGAACAAAATTATCATCTAAAGCTAACAAATAAGCATGATTCTCACTTATAAGATTGATGGAACAGAACTCCCAGAAAAATACAGATAATGATGAAAATAAAAGCTTCTCTTGGGATGTTAGGCCAATAGGCCTAGCCCTTCTCCTAGTACTAATTTTCTTTTGTTATTAGAAAATGTGCAACATAGTGTGGTCAATTTATCCAAAAGAATGCTGGAAAATAAAAGCTAACCTGACTACTCTCTGCTTTAAGTAGTATTGCATAAGCCAAAATGGCTTCCTTGTACTGCATAAAACGTTAAAAGCAAAAGAATGAGGTATATTATGTTATTCTTTGTTTCAAATCAAGCAAATCCCATTACAACAGAGGATTGGAGTTAAGGAGAGTGGAGGGGAGTTGTGACAAAAATATTTAATCCCATCCCCCTTTTTCACTAGCTGTAATAAAGAGATCAATAAACAATTTTAGCAATTTCATACTTGCTGTTGTTCAGAAGCATCAAGAAGAAAATGAATGGAACCAAAGCCACTGGCTACTGTTTTCTCATAAAGTGTCTTGTTGACCAGAAGCTGAAATAAAGCTTAAACAGGTGAGGTGAAGATGCATGATTCATTCAAAACAACCAGGGGAAAAGATGAATTTAACTCACTTGATATCTGTCCCTGGTCTGTTTGTAGCCCAAAAGTACACGAGTCACATATATCACAAGCGCGCTGACTGCAATCACATCTAGAAGTATTGCTGATCTGTAGAAGTTAACATAAAATTAACATTGGGATGATTATACATTGAGAAAAAACCGCAGTTGAACATGATTGCAACACAACAGTGACAAATCGAAGCTTATAAACCAATCCTCTGAAACAGCATTTTGAAAAAAACAATGACTTCTAAAATATTCTGAAACATGACGCATTAATGTTAAGCTGTGCATGTTCAAATGAGGTTGCAAAAGAACGCCTAAAAGTTATGAAAATACTATAAATATCCCAGTAGCTATGCAATGTGGAAACAAATAGCATCCGAATGTAAAAGGAAGCAGCAGACTATTATGATTAAAAGTTGATGATTACCAAGGGATGGGATTGCTAACTAAATTTTCTTTAACTTGCTTTGCTAGTATACTGATCTACGTAAATAAGATTTAGAGTCTGCTCTTACAGCTTCATTCTCTCAACTCACGCATTAATATCTTCCCAAACACAGTGTCATTTCTCTCAAATTTGAATTTCCTGTTTCTTCATCATCGCAGAAACCTCCATCATCAAAAACCTACAATTATCTTCAAAGATCTATGACTGGGACTCAAGTACTACCTCCATGCTCCTGATACAGCTTCTTTTCACTAGCATGAAAAGCCATTTCATGAATTTGGAGCCTAATTACTCATTTAGCATAATTTTTGGGTATGTCTAGCCAGTGTGGTAAGACTAGGTATATATTGAGTTGTTGAGCTATATCTTTTGCTTCTTTTTCATTACCAGGTGCTGAACCAGTTGATTTAAAAGCTTAAGTTGTTATATCATGTAAATTGTGTCTTAAACACAACTACTCAACCTCATAGGCAGATTAATTTTTCCCATAAAAACCTGCCAGGTGCACAACCTCATTAAATGGGTGACAATAAGAAATGAATTCAAGAACTTAGCTTCTAATACAATGTTTAACTAGTTGACTTAAAAGCTTAAACTCATAAAGAGGAATACATGTATATCATTTAAATTGTGTCTTCAACATTAGGTATTTTGTTGGTTAGTTCTAGTTATTGAGGCATCTCTTCAGATCTAGGGCCACAAGACTTAAAGTTCTCAGTCTTCAAATATGTTTTCTTGAAACTCTTTTTTCAGATATGCAATAAAATTTTATATCAACCCTTCATTGTGAGAAGCATGGTTCTGTTCTCTAAGCTGTGGTACCTAAGGGCCTAGGTGTTATATCAGTTTCTTTTGTTCTGTCTTCTCATCTTAGTTAACTTTCTGCAAACGCAATTCATCAAGCAGTTGCTGGTTTCACCGAATTTCTCACTTAGATACTATCGTGTCCTAGTTCCCTGCTGAAGAGAGACGTGCATTGCATAGGCATAAACATTTTTTGAAAATTATCAACTCAAATTTGATATATCATGAAAACGAAACTACACAAATACACAAGTTTAAAGGTCATGTCATGGAGCTAAACTTAAAGGCAATAATATAAAACCAATACATACGGGGAAGATAAGATGTTCTCAAATTTATAATTTATGATGAATGCTAAAAGTCCCAGAGTAGTTGCAACATCCAGGCGTACCTGCATTGTCATTATAGTATCCGATTAAAATCATATCTCCAAAGCTACAACTACTCGCTCAATAAACAACAGAAATTCATTTTAAGTATGAAAAAGTAAAAAATACTTATCACATTAAATTTGACAGGATCTCCATGCAATAAAGGGTAAACATCTTCCAGATAAGCGTTTGATCTATATTAGCCACGACATCATAGTGTCCAAAATCTGTTTAAAATACTAACACAAGACCCATGAAATTCATAAAAATGAAGATTTTTCTGTTAATTAATTTTTTAAAAACATTTATTTTTTAATTTACTTTTTAAAGAGAATTAAAATGTTCACTCGCTTTCTAGTATTCTTGTTGTCCACCATCAACTTATATAAAACAATAGTAACCGATAACATTATAAAGCCATGTAGCACACAAGTACAGAGATGCTTCTACACAACTATTCACTGTTGGAAAAAAATAAATAAATTGAATGGCTGAATTTGACATAAATTTTGAGTGGGACCCATTTGTTTATTTTGGAAGATCGTGATTGATTTGTGTTTTCCTCCGTGAGAACATCGAAATCATATATTTACTTGTCAAAAATAATGCTCAAGTGATTCAAAAATTGGAGCTCGAAGTGATAAATTGGAAGAGATTTTATGTTGAAGGGAAACTAGTTAAAATTATCTCACATAGAAAAATGGATAAAGGCAACGATTGCTTTAAATATGATTATACTTTAGAAGGGTGTAATCATGTATAGCATAGAGACTCTCTCCATGTGCGCACGCAAGAGTGCAAATCACGGACTGAAAAAGGCTTTGGATCTTGAACTTATGTGAGGGCGCGACTTGCCTACACGAATGTCGGATCGAATGGATCAAAAATGACTCTTAAGTAGGTCCACGTTTTGTCTTTATCAAATTCTTCCTGAAACTCATGTGATTATGTCTATATTAATGGAGAGATTAACAACCGAATTAATTGTGGTCAATGGCATAACTCCTTAGCTGTTAATTCTCCAATACAGCCTATCTATTTAGGCATCTTCTCCCCTTACAAACACACGAAAAATCACTCATCTCTACATATAACAAAATTTTATCTCTTGTCTGCATCTGTAATTTTCATTTTAAGTCAAAGTTTTGGTGGTGATACTGTCCAGATACTAAGTCAGTTCGTCGAAGTAGCATCTGCAGTGCTCAAACTCTACTGATTTTCTGTTATATCCTGGGAAAGACACTCGAACGAAATCTCAAGCACCTGGGCGAATCTGTTTGAATGAAATTGTGTTCACACAGGCCTCGGTTTCAAAGTTCATTGAATTTTTATTTCCTGCAATTTATATTACTTCTTTTTTTTATTGTGATCAATAAAATTATTTAATCTGCAATATTTTGACTAACATTCAGTTAGTTAGCTGTCCAACCGGTATTTGTTTATATGGTATTTGTTCAGCCGGTATGTGTCCATATGGTAAGTTAGTTGCACTACCGATATGTGTTTTGTTCATACGGTAAGTTAGTTGCACAGCTGGTATGTCGGTATGTGTCCATCCGATATTTCTGTTCATACGGTAAGTTAGTTGCACAGCCAGTATATGTTAATCTGGTATTTGTTAAGCCGGTATTTATTCACTATTATTTTGTAACATTCCCATCCAATAATTATCTCATTATCTCCCAAGACCACTGAAAACCAAGTCCAGTTAAGGCCATCACCATCACTCATTATATTCACTGACTACATTAAAATAGACCACCATGATGACCAAGCACAATTTGTTGATGAGTGAAGTCTCTAAATCAAATTGCAGGAAAAACAAAAAAGTACGTTCACTGTTTCCTCTTCAGAGGAGGCAGGGAAGGGATATCGGGATGAGTGAAGTAGATTGATTTGAGTTCTCCATACCGTGTCAAGGATTCTGAAAGACAGCTTCTTGTGAGGAAAAACAACCTGCAAAATAAGCATAACATCATTCATGATCGCTCAAATTATTTAGTGTAGAAATATAACATAAACATTTCAGTGCCTAAGCATTCACCGGCAAATCTGGTATAGGAATCTTCTCATAGATTTTCATCTGCAATGACGAAATCTCAGCTTTATCTTCAATTTCTCTCGCTCCCATATCTTCAGTGTACAGCAAAATTAATTCTTGGAATGCAGGCTCCTATTATAAGAAAGTTTTACAGATCAAAGTGCACATCATAAAATAGTTTCCTTCACATTAATACTGGCCCCCTTCCTTTCGTTTTAATCCTGATTCCAAACAAATTGTCCAGTATTACAGTAATCAAAAGATGGTAAATAATGATATTCTATCCATATCCTGTTCTTGATGTCAAGTACCGTCTTGCAAAAAAGGTTGGTAGAAGATCATCTGGTGATCAATAAATGTACTTTCTATTTCTCAAGGATTGGAAAATTAATGGTAATTGAGAAAGTAGACTCCCGGGTAGTTAATTCCCTTCAATCTGAATGGCATAGTAGGTCTATGTTGAACCCTTCCATTTTTCATATTTCCAAATTTGTGCAACATGCATATTCCAATAAAATTGTATTCAATTGTTTAGACTTTAAGATTAGTCCTATTCAAAGGGAAGTACATGATATCATAGACTTCACTAGTCCCTGATGGCAATAGTTCACTCTTGCCAACTAGATATTTATAACAGAAGCAATTTAGAATCTCACATAAATGTTCTATTTCTTTCACATAAATCCTCATAACTTGAATAATTTCAAGCATCAATGAAATGTGGATAGCATTCTACGTATTTCACTTGAGGAACTGAATTCAGGCCTGAGTTTGAAAAGATATTACAAGGACTGGTATTAGCACAAGTACAAAAAAGCAAGACCGTAACTTAATTGTTTACTCGTTGGCCTTTTACTTGATTGGTGGGAGGAAAGTGGAAGGCCGCAGAGAGAATGATAGGACACCCATGTGCTCAGAGAAATGCTATAGAAAGTAAACATAATATAAAATTACCTGTAGAATGGATTGTGAGAAAAGAATGGAAACACCAGTTCTTAACATCTTCCAGAAATCATTTCCACAATATTTTGGTGAAGCAGGTTTCCATATATCACTAAGTGTTATCCTCGACAGAAAATTCGGCCTGTACAATACAATGTTCACTTTGTTTTAATCATTGGTATTTGAAAAGGATATGTTCAACAATCTTTAAGAAGTTATAAACTGGATAACCTCCACTAAGTGAAATTAGCATGAAAAAATCATTATGCATGTATATAGGTAGATTGCTGGACATTTTATTACAGAGCGTCTTACTAACCAACAGTCATAAAATTTACTGGATGCCAAATTTTTACAGGAAAAAAAAAAAAGATGTCCAAAATTGACTGTGGCACCATCTATGGGAAATTTAGTGGCCATGCATTCTAGAAAACCATTTAAAGGACAATTGACCAATTACTGATGGAGATACCCCTGCTTTGCATTTGGGGAACATCTTGATCATCTCTATATGCCTGATGTACACCATGAGAATCAGTGGCAGATCAGCAAGTAAACATCCCCAATTAAAATAAATAAGATCCATGGAAGGTGTGTGATGAGCAGTAACCACATCTTTGATTGAGAAATATGGATTAGAAACCATAACGAAAACAATATATTGCAAGAGATATCACTAAATAGATTAAGACAAGTTCCAACTTCTGAAGGAAATATTAAATCTAATATATTTCTTAGAAAGGGTTACTTCTAGAGATGAATACTCTGATTGGAATGAATAGTAGGCTGGGAGGTGAGTAAGAGTTGCTAGGATGAAACTTATAGGACTAGCAAAAGTATGGTTGACTGGAGTTTAGGGATTTGAAAACCTTGTACGCCCCACCCATCAGCAATCGGCAGGAGATGAAGACAGAGCTTAGTGAGAAGTTAAATACCCTCATATCTCAAGACAAACTGTGGAAGCAACTTCCCAGTTTAAAAAGGGTCATATGTTGGTAGCTGAATATAAGGAAAAATTTAATGAGCTTAATGCCTGAAGCCTAAAATTTGAAGAATGAAGACTGCAGCAAACCCTAGCCAGTCTAAACGTAAGAATTGCTCTAACAAATGCTATTAATGTCATCGAGCAGGAATCCCTTAAAAAGAACCTGCTTAGCAAAAGGCAGAGATGGATCTCAATGTCAAAATTATCATTGGTGACCTTTGCCAGAAAAGAAGCTTCTGCTATTTTTGCCGTGTGGATGGATCCAAATCTTTAGATCTAAATATTTTTATTACAAAAGACCTACAAGGTATAAGACATCAGTTATACATTTTAGAAGTTTAGTTTTAAAGTCAACAGGCACAAACCTCAAATGAGATTCAGAAACAGTGCTATCTGAGTTAAGGTCAAGTGCTTGCTCAGGAGTTGATGGTACAAGTCCAATCCACATAAGGAACTTCCTTAAGAGTCTCTTACGAGGCCCAACTGCTGACAGAATTCCTTCATATCGAGTTACTGCTCTCTCTGCTGCCAACCAGATTGGAAAGTCATTCGATAGGTCAGTTTCAACAGGGTTATCAAGCATTTGTTCATCAGAGAAAAATGGTTGCTGGGATTGAGCCAATTCCTTAAGCCAAAGGTTAATGTTATTTGCCAAAACTTGCGTATCCTGTTTCTGGCTTATGCCCTTAAGAATCTGTTATAAAGAACAGTAAATACGTCAGTACAGCAACCATACACTTAGAAAAGGAAATGAATAATATAGAAAAAGGAAATTTATAGATCATTCCATTCTCTAAGCACCATTCATTGTTGATTCAGATGAAGATTTTTGAAAAACTACTTGCTTGAAAGTTAAAAGGTAAAGTAAATTAAGACAAATATAGCAATGTTTGCCATCGGGCTGCATTTTCACAAATATCAAGTGTCCGACAGGGCAGGGATGAAAAATGCTGTGTGCAATATGTTATGATTGTAGATGAGTCTATAGGAAAGAAAATATTAACATAGAGAGAGTTAGATGAGGTGTACACTGTGAAGACAAGATGAATGATAGAAGTGATCAAATGAGAGTAATGGAAAGAACAAGGAGAGGCACAATGTTTTCGCAATAGAGGCAACAACTCTAGAGGTCCTGCAAGTGAAGAAGAATGGAAACAGACACAGTAGAGTATCAAGTGTAATGTCAACAAGGAGAATAGAGATAACGAGGAGATTGGATGGAGCCAGTTATGAAGTATTTGTGGGGAAAATGTATTGGTTCTGCATCAGCCACAGGCATTTTTCCTTCAGAAAAAGGTCCATTGCAATTAATTTATGGAAATTTTCTTAGCGCGAAATAATTTTTTCCATCTCATCAAACAAAAGATAATAATATTCAGCAAACCAGTGCTATTTTGATGTTCTTTATAATACCCCAAAACTTTATGCATAATTGATAGCTGATAGGTGACTCATTCGTGAAGTTTAAAATGTTCAGAACAAAAGAGGAAAATTATATTTTTAGTTGGGAAGAGAAGAATATAGAGGTAAAATTTCTACATCTACTTAGACTAGGATTTACCCTTAGTCTAGAGAACAACAACGACGACGATGACGACAACAAAAAACACTTAATCAGAATTTCGAGCCTCTAGATGTAACTTGTAAGGAAGAAAAGAGGAAATAGAGAACACTTCTTCAATTAAGTTCCTTCGATTAATCTTTGGAGTCTGACTAAATTTTCACCTCAAATTACATAAAAATGCAACTCTGTTCTAGACAGTGTTTATATAAAGGGTAAAAGAGCGGGAAAAGAATTGAAGGGACACAGTACCCTGCAAAATCATGAAGAGAGTTGAGCTGGTAAAATTTATTCAATTTTATTCCTTTTCCATGAAAATCAACAATCAAGCAGGACAATTGATTCACTTGCTTTCCCAAAAACAAAGTCAAAAGGAGAGAAAAATCTCAAGTTTCTCTTCACTTTTTTTACACCGACTCATTCTATCACTCAAAAATGTAGTGTAGGCCGAGGATTCCTATCATGAAACATAAAATCAAATATATGAAGAGGAAAATCTCCTGTGGAAAATTCATACCAAAGTGAATTGTATATCAAAGATTAAAGAGATCAACACAATAGGAAAATCCATACATATCAATAGTTGTGTCAGTTACCTCATTCATCCATACACCAACTCTCCCCAAAGGTTTGGCGATAAGAGAAAAGAAATTCTGTAACAACTTTGACTGTAAGTAATCCAATTTTTCAACAATTAGCAAGCCCTTCTGCCTTTCAGTTCCATAGCCTCGCCTGTATATAACAAATGATCACGTAGGAAGAATAAAGACCTGCCAATAAATGCATCAAGCAATATCTATGAAGAAGAGTAAGGAAAAAAGGGAAAAGATGTGTAAATACTGCTCTCTCATAGCATTTATATGAACCAAATTGGAGAAAAAAAGGGTGGAAAATTGGAATATATACAATTTAAATAAACATATCAAGTCCAGTTTCATTACTCTTGCTACATGAAGAAAAAGAAGTGATTCCTTCCTACCTAGAGAACAGATACAATACTCAAATGACAATTTAATCATAGGAAGAAGAAGATATTTCTTGGTTTAGATCAAACCAAAGGAGAATTGACTAGAAGATCCAATCTACTATTTTCCAGTCCTGGTAGCGTCAGTAAAACTTAAGAAAGCTTGATCACATAGTAACAATGTGAAGAACAATAAAATAGTAGACTAATACGTTCAAAATGTCATGTCATTAAGAATGTGATGAGCAGTGATAGGATCACTAACGCACATTTCAACATATAGAAGGATAATTAGTGATTGTAACCACCTGAGTTACTCATTTACCTGAATATTATTGCACCCGTCTCAGATGATCTTTTCCAGTCAACATAAATTGGCAAGGTAAGAAGATAATCAGTATTTAATGCAGATGTCAGCATCAAATCCCGAGGAGATAATTCTTCAAACTCGGCATCATGGAGAAGTTGCATAAAAGCACGCTGAAAACGAATTGGGACAGCAAATCTACATGCAACTTTACATGATAAGTCAAATTAGCAGAAGCATGAGACTAATCAAAAGGCGATCATAAGTACAACAAGCATCTTAAGCAGAAGTCTTTTCATTGTTATAGAAAACGAAAGGCAAAATAAACATCTGAGCAAAGAAGAAATAGAAAATTTGCTTTAACGTACATAACTGCAAAGAGACTAGTTTTTTTAAACAGAATTCAGCAGGGAAAAAAGATATGCAATGAATAAAATATCTGATATCACAGGGACAGGTAACTCCAGCAGTTTGTAATAAACTAAAGGATAATGCTAGAAGTACATCTTACATCACCATCTACATAATGGTGTACATAATGCTAATGTGGCAATCATCCGACCTTTAATTCAAATTTGACACCGACACATCAATGACTGGATGATTGACACATTAGCAATATGTACACCATTATGTAGATGGTGATATTCTTCTAGCATTATCCTAAACTAAAAGGCAACAATAGAACATAGAGAACCTTGAAGCCTTGATAGGATTTCCCTCGACAGTTTTTGATGAAGAACCCAATAGGAATCTCAAGTCCAGGGTGAAATTGAAGGGTATTTTCATCTCAGTGTTAGCCTCATCCTTCTTTTCTTTGTCTATGCTCTCACTTTTCACGGAGTTATTAATGACAGCGTCAGACTCCTTCCCATTAGCCTCAAAGATTCTCTCCAAGCCTGACAAATTGTCAAGACCAACACCTTTGCTTTTTGTGGAAAGAGTAAGATCAGAATCGGCTCGCATTTCCTCTAAAATGCTTTTGTGTTCAGCGTGAAGAATCATATCTAAGCATCTGTAATGCAGTAATGGCACGAGCAGATATTAATAATCACAATTTATGATCACGTAAGAAAGACATCTCGTTATGACAATACAATTAATGTTGTAAATTCTTTAACAGCAAGTATATGGAAGTATTAGTACAACTTCATCCAGTCCTAATTTAGGCATCATATCATAGGAACAAGAGAGATAATAGTCATAAACACCTCTTATTTCATCAATCTTGGTCTTCATTATAATTAACTAATATCTTCTAGTAACCCTTAGCAAAGGACCAATTAGCGTGCTAAAGAAGTAAAAATTACTCGGAAAGATGAAGAAATTCGCGGGATTCCTCTTGTGAGGAGAACATGGTGGAGACAATTGCATCCAATAGCTCGGACTTGGAAACTGATATGTATCTCTGTCTCCGAACCTGAATTCCGGAACCTCCACGCCCATTAACATCCTTTGTTTTCAAACTGTCTGCTGCTGTGGTCGCCGGAGTCGGCTGCTGAGGCGGCGGCTTAATTTCTGACCTCTGCAACTCCGGCGGTGCTTCTTGCGCTGTGCTCCGGCAATAAGCAATGTGAATAGGCGTAGTGTTCCGGAAAACATGACATTGATTCGAAGATGATAGGGCGCTAAAGCTGCGCGTAATTTGTAAAGGTACTAACATCGGAAGAAGAGGAGGAATCTACCATCCACCCACTGCCACTCCACTGGATACTGCAGTTTGAACTTATTGATTTTGAGACTTTAATGTCCACCTTACAATTCACTAATCATTTGGTCCTATCCTAGGAATTACATTTACAATATTCTCCAAAAGTTTCATTATTAATCTTATGTTTCATTTTCATTTAGCAAGCCGTGTTAAAATTTTCATTCTCATTCTTATTCTCATTTTCAATCACACGTTCTTTAAAAATATAATATTTTTCATCACATCAATAACGTTCTTTTTTTTTTCAACCACACATTCTCCATCAATCTACTATTCCAAAAATACATTCTTCCAAAATAATGTGGCCCAAACACACCCTTAGTTAAAAATTAGAGTTTGCAAGTCTATAAATTAACCAAATAAGATATTGATCCATAGAAACTCAATATGATTTGAGCAAATCGGTCAACTCGAGCAACACAAATCTACTCGTTGAACTAATTCAATTTTACTTTTAGGGCGTGTTCGATAGAAATTAAAATCAAATTAAAATTGAAAAATTAGATGTTATTGTTGACTTTTATTAGACGAGTGAGACCCAATAACGATTATATTTTCAATTTTAATTGAATTTTATACTTAGCCAAACATGCTCTTAATTTCAATGTGTGCATCGTCCAACCCCAAAACTTATGTAGAGAAAAAAAAAGGGCAAGCATGAGGCCTCAAACTTTGGTGTTGATGAATTTATTACCAAGATAAATGAATATATTCTTACATATTATTGCATCTCAAACAATTTAAATTGTTAACTGCGTACTTTATTAATGATTTTTTTTATATAATTGTTTTGGATGGTGAAATTGTGTTTCACTCGAACTTGTTTGTGATTTTTTAGTTATAAAAGGTTTTTTTGAAATTCACTATTTCACATGTAATTTTTTATGATGTTCTACTGTATTAGAAATAATTTTATTGCATTCTGTCTGATAAGTGTGTTTTTATATACTTATTTTACTGTCAAAATATGAGCAATTGTTGATTAAAATGTTGGAATATAGCTTAATCCTATGCAATTTATGTTTTGCAGGACAAAGTGATGAATGTAGCGAAATTGAGGTGAACCAAGCGAAAAAGAACCAAACTGGAAGAAAGTGGAAGTTTAGGGATTAAAGTGCAAATACTATAAACTTATTTCTAACCTTGTGATGGACATTCAAGAGTCTTAGAGGTCGATTGGATGAAGCAAGGAGTCAAATGGGTGAAAGATAGCCAAAACATCATCAAATATCAACTTTCAAGTTGAAAAGTTTCACACTGGCTTTCAGCCTCGTATTGGGACCGATTTTTAACATAGAAAACGATCGAATTTCAAGATGGTATCTGAATCAAAGTTGTAGGTCTTTGAGTTAGCTTTTCAACGCATCTTGAATCGCCTCAATCG